GAAAGCCCCCCCATTCCCCCTCCCCCCCATGTAAAAAAAAAAAAAGCACAATTAAACTCTATGTAAACCCAGAATCTGTTTTCATTGTGTTTGCCATCATACCTCCCTGTTCATAGATTCCTACATTGTCATCCTGTGTGCTCCTGCAGTTGATAATTGAGCTAGCCATCGGGTCTATCAGATAGGCCAGTGGCCAAATGAAGGAGTATTCGGCATGCTGGCAGTGCTGCTGTTAATTGCCAGGCAGTGGCTTAGCATTGTCAGCTTTTAACAGGAAGTGATGTTTATGTCCGGATCTCCGGGTAAGAATCTTTGCAACAGATTAAAAAAAAGAAAAGAAAAAGACATTTGTTTATTTAAACATTATACAGTGAACCATAATTCCAAACCTACTGAAAAATAGATTTAGGATTTACATACACCCTGGATAAAAACTTTATCAGGAAAAAAAAAAACCTTACGCTATGGCTTCCGGGAAGCTCATCTAGACAAAAGTGATGTTACCGGGCCTTTCCCTGGTAAAGCTGAGGTTCCCAAACTTCCTAAGAAGACAATCCTACACAGTGCTGTAGTGCCTTTTTGTAAGATTTGGGATCCTCAGATTTCCCAGGACCCAAGGTGAAGGTCCTGTAAAATATGTTTAAGCACTGGTTCACACCTAGGCGTATTGCATATGTGCGTCTGTCGCGCGGTAAAAAAATCGTGCGACAAACGCGCGTTTCCGAGGGCTACTTGACTGTATCCCAATGGAAACGCGCAACAAAAATGGGCCAAAGTAGTACATGTACCTTTTCAGGCGTGGGCCGTTTTGTAGCGCGTTAGGGACGGGCTGAAATACGCCAAGGTGTGAACCAGACCCATTGACTACAATGGGATTTAGATGTTTGAGCGTTTTGTAGAGCGTTCGTCGAGCGTAGAACGCGCTACAAAACGTTCAGGTGTGAACGAGGGCTTAACCCTAACAATAAACTTGTCTTAGTGGTTTCTTGGTCAGTTTATTATACCATTGGAACCATTTTTTTATATCTTATAAGTGCAAAAAAAGACTCTGTTAATCTTTTCAGAAATTCAGAGCTGTCTTGTGTCATCTGCAGACTTCTCGTGTTATCTCAAAGAACCCTCCTGGTTCTTATCTTGGACTACAGATTGGTTAGCCGCTTTGTTGTAGAGATCTGAGTAGAAGTGGTTGAACAGTTTGTCAAAAGAAACTGGAAAGGGCTGACAACACTCAGCTTTTTTGTGGACTGATTGTTGTCAGCCCACGACAAGTACATTTCTGTAGGGTTTGTAGCACGTATGTTTATTTTCTTTAGCATATGCTTTAATACACATTTTGAGCTATAGCATTGTATTTAGCTACCATTACTTATTATTTCTTATATTTGACGCTTATATTTTAACATTTTTTATTAATTCATATAGTGCCATCACATGGTGCAGTATTTTGCAGATAACATTAAACTGTTCACATTATTTTCTGTCACCAGAAGGGTTTACCATGTAATGTCCATACCCTTTCTTATTATTTTAGAATACTGACACATATGTCTGATTAAATGTCTATTTATGTTTTTGTGTTTAAGAGTTACGACAAATGCTTCCTGGGATCTTCTGAGACAGCTGACGCAAACAGAGTGTTTTGTGGTCAACTTGGAGCTGTGTACGTTTTTATAGAGGCTCTTAATCCTGCTCAGATCTTTGCAATACATCAACTTGGACCAGGCTATAAGGTGAGCTGAAATAAGTTGACAGTTTATTTTCCAACCTTTTCTCAAGCTTCAGTAAATTCCTGTCTCTAGGAAATGTTAATACATTAATGTAAATGGTAATACAAAAATGTAAACTGTGACATTTTCATGAATAAAAATGGAAATCTCTAACAATCAAAGAAGTGCTGTTCACAAACTCTTGTTGAAGGAGATATACAGTTTTTATAAAACTGACCTGGATTATAAAGTATCTAAGTAAATTTAAATGACCAAACACTTGAATTCCTGACTATTGCTTCTATATGATCTTGTTGGACATCTCATTGTGAAACCACATGCAGTAATATCAAATTGCTCCCCCTCCTCCTCTTGCAAGGTTCTCCAAGATTTTGGAGGGTGTTTGTGGGAATTTGTCTCAAACTAGCCAAAAGAGCATTTGTGAGCATTCAAGATGATTGCAAAGATGATCATTAGATTTGAGGTCAGGGTTCTGTGCAGGCCCCTTGAGTTCCTTCATGGCAAACTCGTCATCCCATTGTGCAGAGTGGCACAGTCATGCTGAAACAAAAAAGGACCTCCCCAAACTGTTGCCACATTATCTAATATGCTTTTGTATGTTGTAGCATTAACAGTACTCTTCACTGTCAACACCTGAACTCAATAATACGGGGGGGTTCCACAAATATTTTCTGTATAGTTTACCAAAACCGCTGAAATGTAAGCACTTTGTGGTGGCCCTTTCAATCCTATGGCCACACTGAACACGAGTCTTTTTTTCCAAGTTGAAGTTAACCCCTGTGCCTCCTTACACTAGGTCCTCTCTCTGTCAAATGCTAGAAGCTGAGTGAGCTATGCCACTTTTAGCTTTGATATATGAATGCGAGAGGGCAGGGCTTGCCACCGGGAGGTGCCAGTCCATGGGCATGGCTTTGTGTGAAATCCCGGTATGACCTGGGCTTGATATCCAAATTGTTCCCCCTGGGAGACGAAGATTGATTTGGGCCCTATGCACATTTATACATCATTGTTGTAGTCAAATGCACATGTGAACACAGGTACTTGCACCACCAGTTGCTTGCACTTAAAATACAGATGCACTTTTTGTGTAAATCTTCCACCCGCCTCCCTTCCTTAGCTTTCTAAGCTAATCTAGAACACCCTTATCCTGGTGAATACTTACCTTTCTGTGGCAGCGGTGGCCTCCCCCGCTGTTTACATTCTCCATGCAGCAGTCTTCTAGTGCTGGCCTCGCCTGCGCTGTAACTCAACATAGACATGACTGGTGCCATCCTCCTACAGTAGAAATGTTGTAAATATGGTTCTTTATAAATCTATGGGGAATAGCTGTGCAGGAACTGCCAATGCTAAAGCAAATTTGTGCATAGAGGATATTATAACTGCTAGAGGCCGCCACCACGAGTGCTAGGTATGTGGTGGGGTGGGTTCAAGGTTGGATTACCTTAGGAAGTAGGGAGTGGAGGGGGCTGGAAGATTTTCTACGTAAAATGTAATTCTACTTTAACATGTATTTCCACTTCTGCAGTCAAATTTGAGAAAACTGCACTATATGTTCTTATTTACATCATACCTAAAATATATATTTAAAAAAAATATTTCTTACATTTTAGATGTGTTTGTTAAGCATCCCTTTGCAACCTTATCTCTCAATTTCGAAATAGGAAACTATGTTGTCCCCATAGAAAGACCAGGGACAAACTGAGCTTCTCTCGTTAACATATGATGCTTCTAGATCTTTAAAGGAGAACTATGGGGTCAGTGTTTTTCCCCATAGTTCTCCTTAGGGTAACGGAAGGACGCAAACTAGCGTTCTCCCGTTACCCGAAGCTCAGTATACCGTGAGCTACAGCTCGCGGTATACTGAGACGCCGCAGCCGGAGCGGATCCCGACTTAGACGACGGGATCCGCCCAGCTGCGTGAGTGACAGAGTGAGTGACAGAGAGAGGCCTGGCTCACCGTCTCCGCTCTAATTCATCCCAAAGGTGTTCTATTGGGTTGAGGTCAGGACTCTGTGCAGGACAGTCAAGTTCCTCCACCCCAAATTTGCTCATCCATGTCTTTATGGACCTTGCTTTGTGCAACAGTCATGTTGGAACAGGTAGGGGCCATTCCCAAACTGTTCCCACAAAGTTGGGAGCATGAAATTGTCCAAAATGTCTTGGTATGCTGATGCCTTAAGAGTTCCCTTCACTGGAACTAAGGGACCAAGCCCAACCCCTGAAAAACAACCCCACACCATAATCCTCCCTCCACCAAACTTTACACTTGGCACAATGCAGTCAGGCAAGTACAGTTCTCCTGGCAACCGCCAAACCCAGACACGCCTATCAGATTGCCAGACAGAGAAGCGTGATTCGTCACTCAAGAGTCCAGTGGCGGCGTGCTTTACACCACTGCATCCAGCGCTTTGCATTGCACTTGGTGATGTAAGGCTTGAATGCAGCTTCTCGTCCATGGAAACCCAATCCATGAAGCTCTCTATGCACTGTTCTTGTGCCAATCTGAAGGCCACACAAAGTTTGCTGGTCTGTAGCTATTGACTCTGCAGACAGTTGGCGAC